TTTAGCTTCTCTACTTGTTAGATATGTACATATGTATTTATTTTATGTAGATACATGTATATGTATGTATGTATGTACATACATACTATATGTACATATATAAAATAGTTTGTATAATAATATGGGGCTTTATTGGTGCACAAAAATTGTATATATTTATGTACATATGTATATGGGTATATTAGTAAGTGCATTCAACGCACAGCCCAAATGGTAAGCGTTAAAAAGCTGTCAAAATGTAGTTGAGCACCAAGTGGTTTTAGAAAATTAGAAATCCTATTAACTTTAAACTTTCTTTGTGTATTTACTCTGACAAAGGATAAACTGCGTTGTATTTTTGTAACTTTTCATTGAAGAGTAGAAGAAATAATTATGATATATGTGTTTATATTGTATAGCTTTTAATTCTAGAAATTACTTGACTTGATTTATTCCTATCATACATAAATATACATATGTATTTATGTACATACATAGTATTTATTGTACCTTATGTTCTAGCTCTTAAATCGTACCAAAGTAATTTGCTATTTAGGAAATGAACTCTTTAGAAACTTGAGAGATTGTCGGAAGAGAAATATTATATAGTAAACTAGCAGGTCTTGCCCGTCTTTGCTGGGCTAAGTAAAATGTGCTTAAAACTATAAGTTTAATTACTATATGATATTCTTCTTTCGACGCTCTCTAAAGTTTTTTTCTCAGCATGTTGTACGCACGGTCGAGTTATCCCCGAAAAGTCCGACGCTGGACATTTAATTTTGATTTATAAATCGGGACGTCCCGCCAAAATTGAAGCGTTCGGCAACGCTGATATGTACATACATTTCAATTTTTCGTTATCCGCCTATATACATGCATACATATATAAGTAAGTATTAAATTTTTTAATTCAACACTTATTTGTGTCTTCAATTCCAAATATGATTGTTGTGAATGTAAAAGGTGTGTTTCTGCTTTTGTCAATCGCATGAATAAACTCACAAAATAGGCTTAACGGTAAATGACTCTTAGATTTGTTCAGAGTATATTTTCAGCGTTGTTAGCTAACACTAAAATGGTAAGTCGCTGTAAATATGCGATCAGCTGAGATGCTAGAGATGGGCATGTGTCGGATGCTCTATGTGTTAGAGCATCAAAACTATCGATAGTTGAATCCGTACTATATGTATGCATGCATGTTTCTCTTTACATTTTCATACATAGACTCGAACTGTTACTTGTTCTGTGTGTGAGTGTGTGTATATGATGTCCCCAACTATTTGATATTTGCGTTAGTTGTAATTTGTTGTTGCTGCATAAAGTTACTAACGAAAACCCCAATGCCAAATGTACTAAACAAAGAAAAAATTACTTTTAAAAATGTTAAATAATTTTTAATTAATTAACATTTCTTCCTCTGTCAGTGCAAGACGAATGAACATACATACATAGATGTGTACATGTACATAGATGTGTACATATTTATGTATGTGTGTACATTCACACATTAGTGTCTCACATTTTGCTTTGGCTATTTCAATCGTTTGCACGCAACTACACGACAGCAGCTTGTATGTGTGTGTGTGTGTGTGTGTGTGTGTATGTATACTTAGTTGTCCCCAACTGTTTGATATTTTGTATTGTTTGTTCTGCCTGCATTTGTAGAATGCATATTTTGAAAATCCTTGAACGCAAAGTTATAGATTTATTTACGTAGATTACAGTCCCCAAATTTGAAATCGATCGGAAAAAATATATAACACAAACTTTTCATTTGAAAAGGTGAATAAATATTAAAACCCCAATAATTCAAGCTCAATTCAAAAAACCATGTATACAGTTTTTCTTGGAATTTTTCTGAGAGTAAACAAACTAAGTTTAAAGATAAACAGATGAAAATTGTAGATTTTTCATACAAACTTTGGAGCTCGATTTCCCCCCTTAGGAGCTCGAATTTTGCAAAATCCCTTCTTAGTAGGCTCCTACACTATGAAAGGATACTTAAGTCCAAATTTCAGCTTCCTAGCTTTTACCGTTTGGGCTGTACGTTGATCAGTCAGTCAGGACAAACTGTTTTATTATTTATTATTATATATATAGAGATAAACGTATAAATGTAAGCACAAATACTGAGCCAGCAAAGACCGCCAAGACCTGCTAGTTTTATATACATAAATAACATATGCTGTTTGGTTTATATAGTTTTTGAAATGCGGAAAGTATTGACGAAATTCTGTAGAGGGGAGATGGGAGGGAAAATCCAAAAAATAAAATAAACTCGTCCTTTCTCGGACCTAGGAGAATCTGGATACCAAGATCCTTGCGTTCATCCAGACGGACGAACATGTCCAGATCGATTTCTCTCGCCATGCTGATACAGAATATGTGTCTTTCTGCCTGGTACATAATTTGCACAAGCGTAATATATTCTTTTTAACCTACAGGTAAACAAATTTAATCAATTTTACCTCCAATGGTACTCGAACTCAGGTAACTCAGGTTATATAATTGCACAGTTACATAGGAGTTGATATGGTGCATATGATAACCAGGAAGCCATAATTGAGGGTATTAGCTGATTTAGAAGTGCAGCGCAAAGTTCCAGGCGTGGCAAAGACTGCTGCTTTAGTAGTGCCACCCTTGTTTTCGGTGCCAATATGGATGTAAAAATGGAATATTCTTCGTGTATTATTTTGCTGTAAACTACTGCAGCGTATGCCTAAGAAACCATAGCCTTTGAAAAATTATCTTAGAGTATGTTAGAGTAGACCAAACATAATCGCTACCCAATGGTATGTACACTTTCTAGTGAAGTGCGAGTCAGCCAGTTGCACTTTATCGAAACTCTGAAGTGCCGACGCGTCTATTGCCTTTCCAATGGTGAAGTGGTTTTCGCTATGACGTGTGCATTGACGATCAAGAGTTGATTGGCTATACGGAAATTGGTATGAAGTGATGTACTTTCCGTTGTGATACCAGCCTTTACTGATGGCATACCCGTAACCAATAAGCGTGAATGTGATTGAGAACGTGCCCAATCAAGAGAATGAACGCAACGTTCCGATACATATGACTTTCACACCAGCTGATAGTTCTCGGATGCTCAGCTCCAACTCTTCGCAGCGAAAATTCAAAAAACGTAAAGAATTCCTCAAAAGTGGGTGACTTCTTCTCCACCGCGTGTCAGCATCAAGTTTCTCAAGCACCAATAACAAAATCCATTAATCACGTCCCTTTTGATCGAAAGCATCTATACCTCTTATAATATCATTTGCGACGTCTGCTACATTTCGCTATATGGGAGCATCAATTTTCGTAGTTTCTGGTAAATTGTTCTGGCCAATCTGTGTGGCTGCCAACAAACCGTTGGATTGCAAGTGGAATACCCTGTATCCAGAAAAACTACTAGCAATAAGAAGAAGAGCGAACTTGATGCTGCAGCTTGTTGGCGTAGACCTGGAGTGAAATTTGATCGCTAATAACTTTACTTAGAATTGACCGATTTGGATAAAATTACAAAGTAGTAGATATTTGTGTATAAATTATTTGTGTTTATGTAGCTTTTGTGGACAGTACTGACGAAATATTTTATCGGGGAGAGGGGAGGGAAAATAAAAAAAATAGGATAGGAGCGTTTACATACCAAGTCGTTTCCGAAATCCAGGCGTTCATCCAGACAGACAGACGGACGGACAGACAGACGGACTGAGAGACGGACGGAGAGACCATGGTGATCAAGAATGCAACTATATATACTTTATGGGATCGGAGAAGCTTCATTCTGCATGTTACATACTTTGCACAAACCTAATATATAGGGTATAGGGTATACAAATTTAATGAATTTAATTAACTAAATTAAATATAAAATATTCAACACATGCATACATACATAAGTGTTTATGTACGATATCAACAGTACAGTAATAAATCAAAGCAACAACAGCTGCGGGCAGAGCTTGGGCAGATATTATATTTATGGCTATAACTTTCTGTTTGGTTATGCAGTCGCCACAGCCAATAGGCAACAATTCATCATAAATACATTTGTTTAAATCACTCAGTGCTCTATGCAGCAAGTTGAGCCATTTAACGTAATCTCAACTCATTATTTGCTTTGTCGCTCAAATTCCTATTTTTCCTTTACGCATTGTTCTTAATTTGCTATAATTTTGCCTAAGGCACTGCACTGATGCAGCGGCCGAATCTTTTTGCTTGTTAACCAACAGTCAAATCGCATCGTTCGTTCTTCGCTTGTGTCGATACGACAACCCCTAGTTTTCCGCCTACTAGACCAATTTTTACATTAACATTGCACTTCGGCAATTGTTTAACAAATTGAATTGCATTTCGGCAATTAACATATACATAAATTTGTTTTCGTCGCTTTATACTGAACTTGTACTATTTGAATCGCAACCCAACATTTGTAAATAAATAGCATTTTTAATTCGAACAATTTTACGCAGTTGAATATTAATTCTTGCCTATTATTAGTTATAGAAAAGCCTATAACTACACACTTTCTTTATATTGACCTATCATAATTACACTTGGCAACCGGACATAATCACTAACTCGATGATGGAACCAAATTTGAGTTTGAAATTAATAAGGACCTACGGGAGTTATAGAAAATCACAAATTGCGGGTGAATACATTCTCGGACTTAGTTATTCTAGACCTTACACTTTCTGAGATCCTTGCGTTCATACAGACAGACGGACAGTCAGACGGACAGACAGACAGACGGACATATGGATATACGGACATTGGTAAATCGACCCGTCTTGTCATCCTGATTAAAAATATATGTACTTTGTGGAGTCCGCCACGCCTCCTTCTGTGTGTTACATACATTCGCACAAAACTGGTATAGCCTTTTACCCTTTGGGTACAGGCTTTAAAAACCAAGTATGCCTTTTTTTTTCATTGGCCCCCCTGCGTACGCCCATGGCATTAATGTAAAAAATTTACGTATAAAGTTAATTTAAGCTTAATTTAATTTTCTCGAATCTTACCTCTTGTATTTTCAATGGTATTTCAACTATATTTCCTCGAACATTAATCTGGCGGTGAAGTAGAACTTTAAGTAAATCGCCAGCTTTCAGTCCCAACAACTTCGATAATGTCTCATTTACTTCATTGTCAGTGTCAGTTAAGTCGCAACCTTCTCCGTCAATATCCATAAATTCAATATTTCCTAGCCATAATATGGAACTAAGAATTTTAAAAACACCATCAATAAAAATTTGAGGAATTTGTAGAACAGTAAGTGCCATTGTAAGAGCCTCAAACTTTTTGGCTTCCACGTCAAGATCAATGTTTAAATTATCTGAAGCATTTAAATATTTATAAAACTCTGGTGGTTTTAAATGTAACATTTCAGCGACATTGTTATTACGTTGTCCTTGAGCTACTAATTGATACATAACGTGGTAATTTCGCTCTCCAAGACTTTGGAATGTAATCCGAGATTGCTCAAGTAAATAGTCTTGAATTACACATCCTTTGATAGAATTTTTATCGTCGAAGCACACTTGCATAAATTTTCCGAACCGGGAACTGTTGTCATTTCGAACGGTCTTCGCATTTCCTAAGAGAAAAAACTCAAATTAATAATATTTACAATAAAAAGTTTAAGTAGAATTCATTTCTAGCAATTAAGAGATTTGTAGATTCGGTTAGCCAAAACAGGTCATTACCAAAGGGCCACTAACCCGTAAAAGGGCCCAGAGCCTGGGCAGCTGGATAAGATTTTGATTGGCAATGCCAAGAGACAGTTTACTTTTGAGAGATTTAACAGGTTTTTGTTTCTGTAATTAAGAAGACTAGCTAGTAAAACGACTGCTAACATTTTAATTTCTTTGTGTGTGCCATTTCAGATACATGTTTAGTTAAAAAGCTTTTTCAACAATTTGTGACCCTACATATTTTTGATCGCATAAGATTATGCAGGATTACAAAAAAAGAAATGTACTCGTCGAATTCTTAAATATTGATAGTTCTTTGCAACCATCCACTATTAGGAGTCCAAAGAAGTGAAATAGATAAAGTCGGGTGTCCTCACTTTGAAATACTATATGTGTAAAATATTTATACAAATTAAAACAAGAGGGAACGCTACAGTTGAGCGAGCCCGACAGTGAAATACACTGTACCCATACAAACTTCCAGCACTGAGTTTTATGCAGCTCTAGCACAAGCAAAAAGAAGAACAAGTAAAAAAGCGGGTGTCCCGACTTTGAAATACTCTGTACATATGTTTACAATAATCATAGAAAATAAAAAAAAATAAAACAAGAATAAAAAAAATTGGATCGATTTTACCTCTCTCGGTATTCGAACTCACGTAAAGGGCGTATAATTGCACATTTACATAGCAATTGCGTCTGTGTGAGTGTATGTATGCCTATGCGCATCTGTTCGTGTCTGTGTAAGCATTTTCGCAGTCAACCAAACAGCAACATCAACAACACCCGCGGGCAGCGCTTGAGCAGCGCTGCAGCAGCAAATATATTTATGGCTATAACTTCTTGTTAAATCGGTTTATCATAATGAAACTTGGCATACGGACACATAATTACTAACTGGGGGTATTTGCAAAAAATTAGTTCGAAATTCCAAGAATTACGGGAATTAGAGAAAATAGCATTTGCGGGGGAGAGGGGGGAGGGAGGGAAATTCCAAAATATACATTTTCTGCGTATTCACACAAGGCACCTTGGACTAAAATTTTGTGTTCTTAGGTCTTATGGTCTTCGAGATATAGGCGATTATACGAATGGAAAATCGGGAAAACCCCCATAGGGGGGAAGTGGGGGGGAAAATCAAAAAAATAAAACAAACTCGTATAGAATACACACATAACGCATCTTCGTGCAAAATTTGGTGTCTCTATCTCTTATAGTCTCTGAGATCCAGGTGTTCATACGGACGGACAGACGGACAGACAGACAGATAGGGCTAGATCGACTCGTCTTGTCACGCTGATCAAGAATATATATACTTTGTGGGGTCTGCCACGCCTCCTTCTGCCTGTTACATTTTTCAGCTCCCGCAAACCTAATATACTCTTGTACATTTCATGTAGAGTATAAAAAGAGCGAACTTAATGCTACAGCTTGATGGCGTACTAGAATGAAATGGATTCGCTGATAACTTTTCATAAAATTAACCGATTTAGATGAAATTTAAAATTTTTTGTTTGGTTTGTGTAGCTTTCGAAATGTAGACAGTATTGACGCAATTCTATAGTGGGAGAGAAGGCTAGGAAATCCCAAATAAAAAATAAAATTGTTACCTTGGCATAAGGTAAGTCCACTTGCCAAGTTTGGCTTATGTAGCTTTAGAAATTTTGGACAGTATTGACGAAATCCAGATGCTGCAGCTTGTTGGCATAGTACTGAAGTAAACTTTTTTCTCTAATAACTTTTTATACCCTTTACCCAAAGGGTACAAGGGTATATTAGTTTTGTGCGAGTGCACATGGAACACACAGAAGGAGGCTTGGTAGACTCCACAAAGTATATATATTCTTGATTAGCATGACTAGCCGAGTCGATATAGCCATGTCAGTCTGTCCGTCTGTCTGTCTGTATAAACGCAAGGATCTCCGAAAGTATAAGAGCTAGAATAACCAAACTTGGTATACAGATTCTCCTGAGCCCCACTCCCCCCCTATATACGATTTCTATAACTCCCGTAATTCTTGGAATTTCGAACTAAAATTGGGTAGTCACATTAGGTAAGTGATTATATATTTGTATACCAAGTTTCATTATGATAGAATGATCGGAAAGAAAGTTATAGCCATACAACCAGGCCCAATGCACACATGCATACATATGTACAAGTACACAAACACGCATAAGGCACGATTCTGATGTAAATGTAAATGTATGTATGCATGCATGGAATATTTTGTATTTAATTTAGTTAATTAATTGAATCAATTTAGTTAATTAATTTAATTAAATTAATTAATTAATTAATTTAATTACTTTTTTGTGGGGTGGTTAAATACCCTGTGTATTTAAGAGTTGAGCCTGCTCGACTTTAGCATTCCTTTCTTGTTTTACAATTAATGGTTTTAAATTTCATTTAAAACACAAGTAGATAATTTTATAGATATTGCTTGTGACAGTTGGGTTTGTATAGCTTTGGGCGGTATTGACGAAATTCTGTAGTGGGGAATAGTAGGGAAAAATCAAAACAATAAAAAAAATTCGTCCTTTCTAGGAGGATTTGGATACCAATTTTAGTTATTCCAGCTTTCATAGATTTTGAGATCCTTGCGTTGATCCAGAAGGACAGACGGATAGACAGAAGAAGGGAAAGGTCTAGATCGATTTCTCTCTTTTTGCCTGTTACATACTTTGAAAAACCTAATATACCCTTTTTACCCTACACGGTATAAAAAGTGAAGAAGCTAAGGTCGGGTATCCCGACTTTAAAATACTCCGTATGTGTGGAATAATAAAAGAAAATAAAACAAGTAGAGAAGCTAAAGTCGGGCGTCCTGACTTTGAAATACCCTGTACATACTTGTATGTGTAGAATAATTATGCGTGTATGTGTGTTTGTGTAAGTCTCGTGTCCCTGTGCAAAGCAGTAACAAGAACAATAGTTGCGGGCAGTACTCATTAGAAAATCAAAAAAAAAAAAGGGGAAGACTTGAGATGAATGTTTATATCTACACCGAAGAGAGTACACACACTTGAAACACCACAAATGCGCATTACTATACACATCAGCTTAAAAGCGCCAAGGGTAAGTTGTCATTAAGGGAATCAAGGCTATTGTATAAAACATCGAAATTTCCGACACACTTAAAAAAAAGGTTTCCAATCTGAAAATAAGCCGATTACGGACAAGAAAAAAATGCTACAAAAAAAAATTAATTTTAAAATTGTAATTAATTTAATTAAATAATTAAATTAAAAACAAGAGAGAACGCTACAGTCGAGCAAGCCCGACAGTGTAATACCCTGTACCCAGTTAAACTTCCGTCACTGAGTTATATGCGCCCAAAGCAGCAGCAAAAAGAGGAAGAAGAAGAGCGAACTTGTTGCTGCAGTTTGTGGGGGTTGTACTGGCGAGAATTTGTTTCGCTAATAACTTTTCTTAGAATCGACAGAATTGAATAAAATTTTAAACAACAGTAGATATTTATTTATAAATGATGTGTGCAAAGTTTGGTTTAGGTAGCATTTGAAATGTGGACGCTATTGACGAAATTCTGTAGCGGGGGAAGGGGGGGGGGAAATTAAAAAAAAAAAAAATAAACTCATCCTTACTCGGATCTAGGAGAATCTGGATGCCAACTTTGGTTATTCTAGCTTTTATAGTTTCTGAGATCCTCGCGTTCATCCAGACGGACAGACGGACAGACGGACGGACATGTCTAGATCGATTTCTCTCGTCATGCTGATCAAGAATATATATACTTTATGGGGTCGGAGATGCTTCCTTCTGTATGTTACATACTTTGCACAAACCTAATATACCCTTTTTACCCTACGGGTACAGGGTATAATAAACTATTCAACACATGCACACATATATAAGTGTTTATGTACAATTTCAGAATAAATTTACATCAAAATAGTAACTCTGCGTGCTTATGTGTATATGTATGCAGCACAAAGTTGAATCAAAGCAGCAACAACAACAATTGCTGGAATTGCGTCTATTTTTATACCCTGTACCCGTAGGGTAAAAAGGGTATATTAGGTTTGTGCAAAGTATGTAACATACAGAAGGAAGCATCTCCGACCCCATAAAGTATATATATTCTTGATCAGCATGACGAGAGAAATCGATCTAGACATGTCCGTCCGTCTGTCCGTCTGTCCGTCCGTCTGTCCGTCTGTCCGTCTGTCCGTCTGGATGAACGCGAGGATCTCAGAAACTATAAAAGCTAGAATAACCAAAGTTGGCATCCAGATTCTCCTAGATCCGAGTAAGGACGAGTTTATTTTTTTTTTTTTTTAATTTTCCCCCCTTCCCCCGCTGCAGAATTTCGTCAATAGCGTCCACATTTCAAATGCTACCTAAACCAAACTTTGCACACATAATTTATAAATAAATATCTACTGTTGTTTAAAATTTTATTCAATTCTGTCGATTCTAAGAAAAGTTATTAGCGAAACAAATTCTCGCCAGTACAACCCCCACAAACTGCAGCAACAAGTTCGCTCTTCTTCTTCCTCTTTTTGCTGCTGCTTTGGGCGCATATAACTCAGTGACGGAAGTTTACCTGGGTACAGGGTATTACACTGTCGGGCTTGCTCGACTGTAGCGTTCTCTCTTGTTTTATACCCTGTACCCGTAGGGTAAAAAGGGTATATTAGGTTTGTGCAAAGTATGTAACATGCAGAAGGAAGCATCTCCGACCCCATAAAATATATATATTCTGAATCAGCATGACGAGAGAAATCGATCGAGACATGTCCGTCCGTCTGTTCGTCTGTCCGTCCGTCTGTATGAGCGCAAGGATCTCAGAAGGTACAAGAGCTAGAATTACCAAACTTGGTATCCAGGTTCCTCTTAGCCCTAAGCAGATCAAGTTTATTTTTTTATTCTGATACACCA